CGAGAGCCGGACATACACAACGAAACTGCTTAATAATTTCTTTTTTCTGTTAATTTCCGCGATTTCTGCAATGATTATTAAAAAGAATACGCAGTTTCTTTGCATATGTTCCCCTTATAATCCCCTTTCTATATCTATATGTGTTATAATGAGTTCTCAAAATCTGTTCTTGTGTCAAGATGGTCATGTTAACTAGAGAGTTACATCGTATTTCTATTAACAACTTCTTGGAAAACATAAGCCAGTGCTTCTAAGATGTATTTAGTTTGCATTAATGTAAATTATGGAGTTCTTTAGAGGAAACAATGCTTTTTATAATGAAATTCTTACAGGTTATAAATAAAATAGATTTATTAATGATTCAAATATTCTATTACGAAATAATCCTATGGTGTTAATATATTTACAGAATCACACAGGAGTTTTGTACTTATTTTAATTACGCTTAACGGATGGCGATTACCCAGAAGAAGATTAAAATTCTGTAAAGCAAATTATACACAAAGCCAGTAAATCTGATTAAGTTAATATCTATTTTACTGGATTTTGGTGCATGATATCACCCCCTTCGAAAATTCAACAAAGTATTTCGAATATTGCTGGTATAGCTCATAAGAATATTAAAAGCTGAGATAAGCAAGTTTATTTGGTAAACGAATAAGCTCTCATTATAGAAAACTTTAGAAAAATTTCGCTTATTATATAATCAGGGTTGAGCAAATATGTATCTCAGAAAACTTTACCCAATCAAAATATAACTGATAGTATTCACACTATGCAAGGTAGACATTTAATATTCTTTGTATCTTTCATTCGAACTTCTTAAATTCGAATTTTCTATCTGGCACTAAAAAGAGTGCAACATATAACTCCATAACTCGAATAAAAATCACGTGTCAATAGGCATATGGGAAAAGTGCATTCTATAAGTGGGATTTTTTGTTTTAAGTGAGAATCCATTTTGGTATTAAGGGAAGTCCCTTTTTCCAAACCAAATGTTTAGATTTGTTTTTCTTATGTTGCTTATGTTTCTGAATATTTTATTTTACTATAACTTCTGTGCTATATTTGAGTTCAAATAAATAAATATATATCTTAAAATTCTAGTTTCTATCAAAAATAAAAAAATTCCCTAACTCGAAGTCTTCATAAGTCGAAACTTTGCTTTGCAAAATGGTACTTCGACTTATGGAAGTTTGACTGTATATGCCTACAAAGCTCCGTTTGTATTTAAAATGGTTTTATCAAGGGGTCTATTATAAAAACAACAAAAAATGGGATACAAAGGATATACCTATGTTAACAATAATTAAATAATTAAAAATTCAGAATTTATTAAGTAACTATGTTTATAATCGTATATAAGTGCTTTTAGCTTCTATTATTACGTATAAAATTGTAAAATTTAATAAACAAAAGTATAAACTTACTAATCTTGTACTGCGTTTTTAAAATATTAAGTATCTCAACTACTGAATAATGTGCCATTAAGAAACTGCCCCCCGTGGGCAGTTACGTTCAGCAAGTTATTCCTTCTTCAGATTGTGTTGCTACTGCTCCATTTTTATTACTTATAAGTAAGTCTAAATATTTATATGTGTGATTTTTATGTACAATATTTTTTATGTGCACAGAATTTTTATGAGTTAATTTAATTTATAGTTTTATTATTGTGTCCTGCACACAATACAAAAGATGCTCAATGCTGTGCGGTACCCTTGAAACCTATTTGGTAGCTTTTAGAACGTGCTTCGTTGGGTAGTCAATGCACTTGTCTGTCTGAAACGCGCGTTGTACTTTATACCTCCCATGCCGATGACTTTAGTTGCAGAAGTGTGCGACCTTACAGTAATTCTTCGAGAATTAAAAATATCAAGACAATAAATATTTGAGTGAAATAAAAGTACGAAAGATTTTAATGAAAGAAAGAGTGTTTAGAGGGTTTTAAGTAAATAATGAGTAAGACAAAAATTATATGTGAAATGTATGACATACATACATAAATAAAAAATTCGCAAATTAAAGCCCAGAATTACTTCGAAAAGTAATGACCACTGTAAACAAAATACGCATAATAATAAATGGATATGCACCTAAAATGTTTAAACAGTATTGAGACAGTGCATCTATCCAATTGAGGTAACTCATTATATTAATGGCTGACGTCTCGTAAGCCAGGAAATTTGATGAACAATACAGGACTACGCTGAAAGAAAAAGGTTTGGTACTGTACGCATCAAAGGAAGATTATTTAATATAATCCTAATTTGCGCGTACACGGCAACGAAAAGGCATAACCGAAAATGCCTTATTTTCGAGACACAAGGTAGTTTATGGCTGCTGTTTCGCCGCGACGTTAAAATTGGATTTCAACGCAAAAGTTAGAAGGTAATGAATTTTTTGTATATCAGTCGGAAAATTCTTCCTTATTTCACGTACAACAACGGTTTTATTTTGATTGCCTTCACAATCTGATGGGTCTACCCTGATTGAAAAACTTGAATATAGATTGATAAAAAAATGAATGATATACGACGCTCGATATATTTGGTTTTTCGTGGTCCAAATATCGACGGACACTATTACCTAATCGGAGTCAAAATACGGGCGGAGCTTAGTAATATTATATATTCATTTACACCAAAAAACTTAAAGTTGGCAAACTGTGATCACGTAAAAGAGTCAAAGCCCTCTCCGCTTAACTCAATAACCGTTTAAATAATTTACCCAAGAATAGCACTTCCTTCCGATACTGTGGAAGATGCTCTTAGTTTCCAATGTTTTCTTCGATGAAAGCAATAAAACACAAGAAAAATGGTTATACGTTTTACTGAAAACTAACCGTCTAGTTCATGACTTAGTCTGGAACATCAATCTGTTAGGACGAAAATCGGAGTATGGACAAAAATAAAGAGAGTATACTTTAATTGTATAAGGAATAGTTTTTCAAATAGTTATCATGCATTCTTCGTCTGGAGAAGTACACTTAAAGGCCTTAATTTAAGAGATGGTTCTGAAGGTCAGTATATACGGAAAAAAGCTAACAATAGCGTTAAGCAGTGTCGTTAGCGTTAAACAGTGTCTTTCAAGGTAGATCTTTCCGAACCTCTTGATACCGAACGAGATTTTAGAAAAGGTCACGCCATTTATGTATTCTCTATAATTTCATTATGAAACTGATGTTGCGCAGGGTAGGTGTTTAATGTAATTGCACAATATTTTGGAAATATGTCTATCTTATTGCTAACACTTATGTCATCGACATCTTTAAGCAATTATTGTTAATTTTGTTATCAAAAAAAATCTATTAAAAGAGGCTTAGCGGTGAATGAGACAGAGCGAATTATACGTTGACTGCTGCAGAAATTTATTCTCTGGATAATGAGTTGGTCAATACTTTCAGGAATGCTGAGACTTTGATATGGGGATTTCGCATAAGCTGCTATGTATCGTTCCCGTGCTGTGTTTGAGATGATTCTCAAATACTCATCGCCAGTTTAATTGATTGATATTATTTCTCGCTCTCGCGAAAGAACTTACAAGTGTTAAGCCCAACGCCAGGTTTCTGGTTTCAGCAGCGTAGGAGATCTGTTCAGTAACAATTTATATATCATAAAGCAGATGAAGCAATTCATGGGTAAAGTTTTGCATAAATGAGCAAAGAAAAAATTTTCTTCTGACAGTCTCTTAAAACACATTTTTCTTAAAAATATTGTCATCAAACCTCATGACATCAGCGAACCATCGAATTCGCTGGATTTCAATTCAATAAATGATGTCAATCTCGTTATAAGACTTGTGTAGCATGTGGTGTATTCGCATGCGATAGTCGTAACCAACTCGCTGAGGACTTAGAATACCACAAAGATTGAAAGATCTTCCCTTTCTTTAGAAAAGTCTTAGTTCTGGTTCATTATTCTACGATAACCTCCAAATTAATTGAGTTTTCTAAGACAATTATATTTAATTGTTTTTGATAAAACTTTAATTTCAAAAAATATATATACGGAAATGTATATATATATCTTTCTCAATGTAAAGATATTTAATAAATATATTTTATTTTATTTAACATTTTGCAAATTATGTTAGGCTGTGCGCCGCACACCTCCGCACCTTAGAGCAGTCGTCACTGAAACATAGGTAAGATGAGCAATTTATACAGCGTAAGTACCGATTTTCACAGGTTATAGTTAGTAGATTGCAGTTTAGAAAATTGCGTTTTCACAGCAATCCAATACTATTATTTTAAAAGAAACTCAAGCTTAAAACTAAACGTCCGACTTTTCATTCGTTTGACGGATGCGGGCGAAGTAACATGGTATGAAGACCAATAAAGCTGTAAGAAGTCCTTAAGAAAGTGCAACAAATTCGTTTATAATCGCAAATTAGGTTACTTCTTAAAATGGAAGGGTTTTGGCGTAGAAAAATTTATATAGGGAGCAGCTTAAAATTTTGATTGTCAATATTTAATTGATTAATATGCAACTCAGTTAGCAGTAGAAAAAGGTTTCCTTTGTCAGAGGTATAAAATCGTTGCTGGTGCTTTCAAGTTCAGCTGATGGGTCAGGCTCCGTGTCAGATGTGTTTTTACAAAATAAATTTTAAATAAAATCGATATGATGGTAGAGGCAGATAAAATAATCAGGGAGGGTGAATCAAGTGGTTGATTTCGTTAAAGTGAAGCTCAGTTAGCTATGGAACGAGCTTTGGCTTATCAGAAGCAGAACGATAAAAAGTGAACTTGAAGAGTTTGAAGAGACGAAGCAAGAAGAAGCGCAGTGATAAAAGTATTAGTATTTAATGTTTAATAATTCTGCAAATTCATTATTATTGGCTTGTTTTTAGTTTTGTATTTTAAATTCTAAGTATTTTTATGCATAATATTGTATAAAATAACAGCACAATCGAAGGTACAATGATGTGTCAATACTATAAAAAATTGTAGGTGAAAAGGATTAAAATTTTAAAACTTCAAAATTAAAAAAAAAATCATTTTAAAAAGTTATAAAGCAAAAAGTTTTTGTTGCCACTACCTTTACAAAGATGGATCCGCATGACTACTTAAAGCTAGATTTAATTGCCGATAAACGTATAAACAATTACAGTTTATTTGTAAGTATAAACATCCAAAAATAAATATTTTAAATTTATTTATATCTGTTTTTATAGACCAATGCGGACTTACCATCTCTGTTAAATCACGAAAATATTCACCTGCCTAATCCAAAAGCAGTCAATCCATCTAATTCTACCGACCGTAGTAGCGGTAATACTGTTGCTGGCATAGACTTTGATAAGGGGAGTACTACAGTCGTGTTCCTGTATCAAGGTGGTATTATAGTAGTTGCCGAATCACGCATCACTAAAGGATCATACATTGTATCGGACAACTTCGAGAAAGTAATTCATATTACTGAGACTATTGTATGTACTATTTCTGGTTGCACTGCAGATGGTTGCTACTGGGTTCGGAGACTTATCACAGCATGCCAGCTGTATGAACTTGAGAGCGAGACAAAAATTTCTGTCTCTGCTGCTAGTCAAATAATGCATAATTTGCTACAGCCATATGTCATATTTGATCTAAATCTGGCAGTTTTAATAGCTGGATACGATAGGACAGGTCCCAGTCTCTATTATGTTGACACTCATGGTGTGTGTGAAAAAGGGAATATGATGGCAGTAGGAGGTGGTTCAGCATTTGCATTTGCAACTCTTGATACTAATTTTTTTTGGGAAATGACTGATAACCAAGCTTATGAGATTGGTAAACAATGTATATTCCAAGCAGTTTCTTTTGACATATTCTCTGGTGGCATTATACGTATGTATCATATGACATCAAAAGGCTGTAATCGTGTCTCTGAGACAGACTCTGATGATGTGGTAGAACAGTTTAGAAGTTTGAATGCTTCAGACTAAGCAATCATATCTCAATTTTAATAGAGAACTGATAAAGAACTGAGCACTTATTAATTCTTATAAGTTAATTGAATTACATTTTTTAGTTGTGGAATACGATATTATTTTTAACTTGATTTTTTTGTTCTCATGAAAACACAATGTAGAAATTACTTTCTGAATTTCAAATTACAAGAAACTTGTTCAAAAATAATAACTTTATACAGCTGTTAACTTGTTAATTTTGATTGCTTTCTATTTAATCTATTCTGCTAATATTTATTTATAGTAAATACTCCTCTAAAAGACACAAGGCAATCAAATAGTGTGGAAAATAGTTAAAAATTCAGCAATGAAGGAAACAAATTCCTGAATTGATCGAGGTCAATTGTATTTATTCAACATAGTTACGATATAAAGAAGCGAAATTAAGGCAATAAAGTTATTATTTAGAGCACACCTTTAAGGTTTCCACACTAAAAAACATTTTTTTAAACTGAACGTTTACATCACAGGTTCGCTCGAAGAAGCACTGTATAAAGACGAAAAGAGCTGTAAGCAGTCAGAGGAAGAGGAATATACATGAAACTCAGTTAAAAATGTAGATTGTCAATATTTAACTGACTAAGATGAAATTCAGTTGGCAATAGAAAAAGCTTCAGTTCGTCAGAAGAATTTGGGTATTACTGCTTCTTTGAGTTCCACTGTAACGAAGCACAAAACTGACGGTCCAACGAACGAAGAAGGAAGACGGATTCATTGTGGCTACCATTTTCTTTTTGTATTGCAAACCAACTACGTTTGTTGTGTGTTGGAAAGTACAATTTTTTTGATCACCCGAAAATTCACAGCATTGTGAATTGAGTTCTTTACCCGAAGATGTTCATTTTGTGAAAGATCAAGGAAACATAGGCATATTGAATATATTGCTTATTGTGGTACTTTCCAATATTCTTAAATGGTTGTTTGTTAAATGGTTAGAAGGAAAGAAATGCTTGACAGAATTTCATTAAATTTGCTGATGTACATCAATTTTTTATGGCTTATAAATGCTTCGCCTTTGTAAATCTTTTGACGCATGGTTTGTTTTGTATTTTACTTCTCAGTTTATGGAGAAGGATGGCCGCAAAGACTGCCAAATTATAATGAAAGTATAAACCTTGAAATGGTGGAGCATGTTTTTGTTGCAGAAAATTCAAAAAGTTAGGAAAATGAAGAAGTTCATCTACCAACAGTAGGTTAAAACCAGAAAAAGACTAGGTATAGCTAGATTTGGGAAAGTCTAATACTAATGCTCTAGAGTATAAAATATTAGAAAGTCTTTTTATAATGATATGTCTAGGTTCTTGAAAATTAAAAAGGACTTTTTAGTTAACGACATCGAGTGGAAGTGATAGTATCGTGAGTAAAACCTTGTTTTTAGAGGAGAAAAAGATATAGTAAATAATATGCCGATATCGGATCTTTAAGCTTCGATTGTCTCACAAAACAAAAAAATTGAGATTAATTTTTAATAATATATAAACTTTGTGTAAATATTATTATTATGAATATGGTGTAAATTATAAATTATATTATTAAATAATATTAAATTATTACTAATAATTTTGTTTTTTACGGGCTAAGTGGTTATTAGATAAATAATAAACTCTTCAAAAAATTTTTATTTGTTTTTAATAGATTTTATTTGAACCGATATTTTGGAACTTTATTTTAAACTCAAATAAAATTTATTTTAAAAATTTATTATTTTGGTCATTAAAACAATAAATTAATAAGTTATTACATTCAATTATTTACATTAATTACATTAAATTATTATAAATTAAAATAAAATTATTATTGTATCTAAAAACACATTTACTTGTAGATTATATTGAATATTATATTTGTTATATTATATAGAATATCTTTGTAATATATAAGTTCTTTAAAATTGAAATAGTAAAAAAAAACGAAACTTCATTTAATAAATAATTGGGATGTGTTGGTTAAATTAGGTATTATATATTATTTCATTTATTCATTTATTATACACCGAATACCAAAATATCGAAAACCTTCCGTAAAAATTTTTGTCATAGAAACCGTAAATTATTTAAAAGTAATCGTTTTGAGTGATCAGTTAGATATCTAATTCATTGATCCACTTGAATAGACTTGAAAATTATAGTGATTTAATATGTGTCGATATGCTGATTTTATTAAATTTTACAGTTTCTTCGAAGAGAAACTTGAATCCAATATTTTAAGTAATAAACTCAGTGGTGTATTTGTAGCACACAAGATCCATTGGAAATTCATTGAACAATCCTCTATAAAATTGAAAGTTTTTTTTGCAATAAAAAAATATTGTGTCCATAAATAAAAAGTATACACCTTTTCTGATTTCTAGAGAATTGATGAGTTTAGGGATTTGTTTGAAAAAATTAAAAAAATTTTTACTAATCGACAGAAAAAACAAAAATATATTTTTTTGATTAACAACACAACAAATCGAGGAGTTGCTCGTGGAATTTCTATTTATATACCTTTTTTTTTTTTTTTTTTTTTTTTTTTTTTTTCCATTAGAGGTGGAATCTTCTAAAGATGCTGTAAAAGCATGCCCGATTCATACTGTTCGCTACCACTCTTTCTCAAGTTTACGCAGGTACGATGCTCTTGCATATGCCAAACTTGCGACACAGTACGCCTACGGACTAAACCTTAACCCCTATAAATAACACTGCCCTTTAGAAAACGTCCCGCGGGACCACCAGCTAGGTATTACTTCGCTAGGACAGGGCGAGCACTAACGCTCTATTTCTCAATTATCATTTACTCTCATTTGGTGTTGTCGTTCATCTCGTCGCAGTTGTTGCATGATTGCTGTAATTATATGATTAACTTGTTCCCAGGCATCTTTAGAGGACAACATGTATTGTACGACTCTATGACATGTAACATGGTTACCCATTAATCTTTCTAATGCTTCTCTAGCACGTGTAAAACGTATACAAGTTGTCAGTATGTGCTCAACGCTTTCTACCACTTTACCACAATGCAAACAAAAGGGGTCATCAACATGTTTATATTTGAACAAATATTCTCGGAAACAACCATGCCCTGTGAGAAACTGTGTAACATAGTAATTAGGTTCACCATATTTCCTTGAGGTCCAGGCAGCAATTGATGGAATAAGATTGTATGTCCATCTTCCTTTTGTTGATGTAATCCACCGTTGTTGCCACTGTACGTATATTTGACTTCGTACCTCATCTTTGTAATTTCGGCTAAGACACTCTTGTGATTTCAGATCTCTCAGAGCTGCAGCTTCTTTAGCCTGTAGGTCTATTGGTATTCGTCCAGCAATGACGTTTATAGCTACTTCGGAGACTGTACGAAACGCGCAGCATACCCTTAATGATGCTAATCTATGAGCTGACACCAAAGATCTTGTATATGATAAACGGAAGGCTGCGGGATACCATATTGGTGCGCCATACATCATTACTGAAGTCGACACTGATGCCAGTAGTCTTCGACCTGCATATCTTGGACCACCAATGTTTGGCATTAATCTTGCAACTGCCGCACCGATTCTAATTGCTTTGTCACCAGCAGACTTCAGATGTTCCTTGAAGTTAAGCCTTTGATCTATTTTGACACCCAGATAATTAATTACCGAGCTTGATTTGATAGAAAGCTCGCCAACATGTATATCAATAAATTCTATTCTTTTTCTACTACTTAGAAGAACTGCTTCGGTTTTGTGCTCTGATAGTTCCAGGCCCATTGACTCAAGCCAGAGTTTGACCACTACGATGGTGCTATCACATTTCATTACAAGCTCGTTGATGGTTTTTGCAACCGCTACAATTGCAATATCATCAGCGTAACCAATTAACTGCACTCCAGGTGTTTTTCTACATTAAATACGCCATCATACATTACGTTCCAGAGAATGGGGCCTAAAACTGAGCCTTGTGGAACTCCTGCTGACACTAAATATGTCTTCACACCGTCGTTTGTGTCATACATTAGAATGCGGTCGTTGAAATAGCTTATGATCATTCTAAGTAGATATGCCGGTATTTTCAGTTTTGCTAGTGCTTCTATTGTTGCGTTCCAGTCCGCTGAATTGAAAGCATTTTTGATATCCAGCGTGATTATAGCACAGTATTCTTTGCTGCCGCCTCTCCATCTTTTTCCATCCAGCGCATTTTGGGCTATATTATGCACTTTTGCTATAGCATTTATTGTACTCTGGCCTTTCCTGAAACCATGTTGCCATATTGACAGGCCATTTGGTCCTTCTGTGTACTGTTCCAATCTGGTAGCAATAAGTTTTTCAAATAGCTTTCCAGTAGTATCCAGCATGCACAACGGTCGGTAAGATGACGGCTCATGTAAGTGCTTCCCTTTTTTAGGGATAAGGACTAGTCGTTGTACTTTCCACGGTTTTGGAAACACGCCTTCTACTAGACACAATGAGAATACTTCCGCAAACAGTTCTGGCCTTCTATATACGATTTGTTTAAGCGCGCCATTTGGGATACCATCAACGCCAGGTGCTTTCGTATCCTTAATGATTTTTGCGGCTTCAAGAACTTCGCTTGGAGTAATTAAATTAACTTGGACGTCGTCATCGGTCAGTATGTGTGTTATCCCAGAGCCTTGTGGGAACAAGTTGCGTACGATCTCTTCTAAGAAACGAAAATTGGTAGGAGCTGATGGTGAAGTTCCCTTCATTATCTTTTTGACAGTTTGGTATGCTTTTCCCCAGGGATTAGTTGATAGTTCATCTAGCAAGGTGTTGTACAGCCGCTTTTTGCTTTGTAAAATAGAATTACGGAGCTCTTTCCGCTTTTCCTTATAATGCCAGTTAGGTTGCTCAAAATTGTTATGCCCTCTTGCTCGTTGTTGAACTCTGCGTAATTTGTGACATTCTGTCCGCAGGTTTCCAATTTCTTCATTCCACCAAGGTGCAGGTCTATGATGCTTTCTTTCATTTCTTCGAGGCATTGATGCATCACAGATGTTTTTAAGTGATTGCATTAGGCTTGCAGCCTTACTATTCGCGGAACTGCCAGTTAGAATTATTTCATCAGCAAGAAGGTCAACCATTGCTTTATCTAATTTACTAGTATTCCATTTA